GTCTAGGTACCTAACTTAATTACCCAATGTAAGGTATACATCGCTCTTCCTTTATTAGTGCTATTACTTAAGGTTAATTTAAGCTCATGAAAGTGTAGTTAATACAGGCGAGAGTTTGAGTGACAGGCGGGTGGCACTGGGTGGCACTGGGTAGCCCACCATTCATCACGGAGACCCGGCGACACAACACACATACACATACACACACACACACCACACACACACACACACACACACACACACACACACACACACACTGATTAATTGGTGGGGGGGAGGGAGGTAGTGGATAGAGGAAACTGATGAGCTAATATACTCTAAAGGGGAGGATGAGGTGTTAGTGTAGGAAAAGTATTAGTGTAGGTGTAGTGGTGTAGGTGTAGTGGTGTAGGTGTAGCGGTGTAGGAAGTGTAATAGTGTACGTGTGGCAGTGTAGGTATAATGGTGTAAGTGTAGTGGTGTAGGTGTAGTAGTGTAGTGTCAAATAATTGAGACAGGAGTAAATTTTGTGATTATCTCATATTTCTTAGTCTCTAGTTTAATGTAGTTTGGGTTTTCTTTTCAGAAGAATTTGCTACCGACTTCTGGCAACCATCTAGCTGTGATGTTACCCTGCGACTCTCATCAGTGCTACAACAGCTGTTGCTCTGTAAGGCTATTCCTGCAAGCGTGGTTTTTTAATGAATGTGGTTTTGCCAAATTTTCCCCTTCATTTCTTGATTACTGCTGAAATTCACGAATTATGTTACACCTAGGAAGCATGCAAGTATTGTAGCTTTTAGAAAACATGTTGACTTGAGTATCAGATGGCCAAAAATTTGAGCCTAGCAATTGTTGGTCGGACTCTGAAGACAGCTGACGACACTGGTGATTGTAGAGCCCTGCGTAGAGGAAGATGTGGAAGAAAACGCAAGACAACACCTCACGATGACAAGGCTATCATGACGAATAGTGTGAAGGTTCCCAAGAAAACTAGCAAAGATCTACTGAGATTTTTTGTTTCAGTTGGCGTAAATGTTGATTCCTCAACCGTTCGACGAAGGTTCCTTGAAGCTGGCAGAACTGCCAGAAAGCCGGTAACCAAACAATTATTGACTGCTGCTGTGAAAAAACAACGGCTGAGGTGGGCACTCGATCATAAGGGATGGACGACAGATGAATGGATTTTGGCCTGTGGCCTGGTGGCAAAAGCTCCTGCTTCACACGCTGAGTGTCCGGATTCGATTCCCGGCAAGGGTAGAAACACTGAGCGTGTTGCCTTACACCGGATATCTATGTTCACCCATCAGTAAAAAGGGTACCTGAGTGTTAGTCGACTGGTGTGGGTCGCATCCTGGGACAAAACTGACCTAATTTGCCCGAAATGTTCAGCATAACAATCGGCTTTCTATATAATAGTATGTCATTGATGTCACCTAGGCCTGTATACCTTGTACATGTACATGTAGAAATAAAGATATTAAATGGGTACAGATCAGTGATAGTGAGACGGAGCAAAGGCGAATCTCTTCGGAATGAACATCTAAAACGTTTTGGGTACAATGTCATATCATTCTACTCACCTAGCTGTAGTTGCAGGGGTCGAGTCATAGCTCCTGGCCCCGCCTCTTCACTGGCTGATACTGGGTCACTCTCCCCACACCATGAGCTTTATCATACCTCTACATCGCTTCCCAAACTATTCCACTTCCTGACTACTCTGTGACTGAAGAAATACTTCCTAACATCCCTGTGATTCATCTGTGTCTTCAATTTCCAACTGTGTCCCCTTGTTGCTGTGTCCCATCTCGAATATCCTGTCTCTGTCCACCTTGTCAATTACTCTCAGTATTTTATATGTCGTTATCATGTCCCCCCTATCTATCCTGTTCTCCAGTGTCGTCAGGTCGATTTCCCTTAACCTCTCCTCGCAGGACATACCACTTAGCTCTGGGACTAGTCTTGTTGCAAACCTTTGCACTTTCTATAGTTCCTTTACGTGCTTGGCTAGATGTGGGTTTCAAACTGGTGCCGCATATTCCAATATAGGCCTAACGTACACAGTGTACAGGGTCCTGAACGATTCCTTATTAAGATGGTGGAATGCTGTTCTTAGGTTTGCCAAGCGCCCATATTCTGCAGCAGTTATTTGGTTGATGTGCGCTTCAGGAGATGTACCTGGTGTTATACTCACCCCAAGATCTTTTTCCTTGAGTGAGGTTTGTAGTCTCTGGCCCCCTAGACTGTACTCCGTCTGCGGTCTTCTTTCCCCTTCCTCAATCTTCATGACTTTGCACTTGGTGGGGTTGAACTCCAGGAGCCAACTGCTGGACCAGGCCTGCAGCCTGTCCAGATCCCTTTGTAGTTCTTCATGGTCCTAGTCCGACTGAATTCTTCTCATGAACTTCACATCATCTGCAAACAGGGACACTTCGGAATCTATTCCTTCCGTCATGTCGTTCACAAATACTAGAAACAGCACCGGTCCTAGGACTGATCCCTGTGGAACCCCACTCATCACAAGTGTCCACTCTGACACCTCGCCGAGTACGATGACTCGCTACTGTCTTCCCGAGAGGTATTCCCTGATCCATTGTAGTGCCTTCCCTGTTATCCCTGTCTGGTCCTCCAGTTTTTGCACTAATCTCTTGTGTGGAACTGTGTCAAACGCCTTCTTACAGTCCAAGAAAATGCTATCTACCCACCCCTCTCTCTGTCTTACTGCTGTCACCCTGTCATAGAACTCCAGTAGGTTTGTGACACAGGATTTCCCGTCTCTGAAACCGTGTTGGCTGTTAAGCTCATTTCTTTCTAGGTGTTCCACCACTCTTCTCCTGATAATTTTCTCTATGACTTTGCATACTATACATGTCAGTGACACTGGTCTGTAGTTTGGTGCTTCTTGTCTGTCTCCTTTTTTAAAAATTGGGACTACATTTGCTGTCTTCCATACCACAGGTAATCTCCCTGTTTCGATAGATGTGTTGAATATTGTTGTTAGGGTTAAACATAGCGCCTCTACACCCTCTGTCATGACCCATGGAAAGATGTTATCCGGCCCCATCGCCTCTGAAGTATCTAGCTCGCTCAGAAGCCTCTTCACTTGTTCCTCGGTTGTATGCATTGTGTCCAACACTTGCTGTACCCCACCTCTCTGTCTTTCTGGAGTTCCTTCTGTCTCCTCAGTGAACACTTCTTTGAATCTCATGTTGAGTTCCTCACATACTTCGTGGTCGTTTCTTGTGATCTCTCCTCCTTCCTGCCTTAGCCTGATTACTGGTCCTTGACTGTCGTTTTCCTTCTGATGTGGCTGTACAACAGCTTTGGGTCAGATTTGGCTTTCACTGCTATGTCATTTTCACATTGTCGTTGGGCCTCCCTTCTTACCTGTGCATAGTCATTTCTGGCTCTACGACTGCTCTCCTTATTCTCCTGGGTCTTTTGCCTTCTATACTTCTTCCATTCCCTAGCACACTTGGTTTTGGCCTCCCTGCACCTTTGGGTGAACCACGGACTCAGCCTGGCTTTTTCATTATTTCTGTTACCCTTGGGTACAAACCTCTCCTCAACTTCCTTGCACATTGTTGTCACATATTCCATCATCTCGTCTACTGACTTCCCTGCCAGTTCTCTGTCCCACTGAACCCCGTTCAGGAAGTTCATTCCGGCGTAGTCCCCCTTCTTGTAGTTTGGCTTCATTCGTCCGGCTCTTCCTGTTCCCCTTTCCACTTGTAACTCTACTGTGTATTCAAATCTTAAAACCACATGATCTCTTGCCTCAAGGGATTTTTCATATGTGATGTCTTCAATATCTGCACTACTCCAGGTGAATACTAGGTCCAGTCTCGCTGGTTCATCCTCTCTTCTCTCTCTGGTAGTGTCCCTTAAGTGTTGGTACATGAAGTTTTCCAGTACCACCTCCATCATCTTAGCCCTCCACGTTTCTTGGCCCCCATGTGGTTCCAAGTTCTCCTAAATGATTTCCTTGTGCTTGAAGTCATCCATGATCAGTAGCTTTGCCTTGCTCGCATGAGCCCTTCTTGCCACTTCAGCCAGTGTGTCAACCATCGCTCTATTACTCTCATCATACTCTTGCCTTGGCTTCCTGGTGTTCTGTGGTGGGTTATCCATCGCTGCAATTACCACCTTGGGACCTCCAGACTGAAGCGTTCCTACTATGTAATCTCTTGCTTCTCCACTGTCTCCTCTCTCCAGCTCATCAAAATCCCATCGGTTTTTGACCAGCAGTGCCACTCCTCCACCCCCTCTGTTCCCTCTGTCTTTCCTCAGGATATGATATCCCGTTGGAAAGATAGCATCTGTTATCAAACCTGTGAGCTTGGTTTCTGTGAGAGATATGATGTCCAGTGATGCCTCTTTGACTCTTTCGTGCCACTCCTCCCACGTATTTGTTATTCCATCAGCGTTGGTGTACCATACCTTCAGTTTCCTCTCCAATACTGTGTTTTGGGGGGTCTGTGAGGGTGGGGAACCTGGCAGTGTACTGTGGGATTCTATAGCGGAGTGTTAGGTGGGAGGTGTGTGTGTGTGTGTGTGTGTGTGTGTGTGTGTGTGTGTGTGTGTGTGTGTGTGTGTGTGTGTGTGTGTGTGTGTACCTTTATCGTGAATGAACAAAGGAACTGTAACAAAGACAACTTAAAAAAAGGAACACTGCTTAGTGTTGTACGTCACTGACCACTAACCCAGTGCATGTCACACAGCAGCACTAACACTGCTGGAGGCTCGACCCTCTTTCCGCTAATCATGACTTTTGGTAATCGCCAGAATGGAATGGTATATAAATTAAAGAAAAAGTCCGATAAAGAAAGGAAAATTAAATCAGACATTTACAAATTCTGATTCTCAACTGGACTCGTCAAACTAAAACAAAATACTAACTCATAGGGAAGAATTAAACCCGTAAGGGTGGTAATCAGGTTTGATATGAGGAATTAGGGGGGTGCAGCTCTAGTGCGCTGGATGAAGAGCGCAGAGAAGAGCAACATGCGTCAGATACTCACAGGTAGCGCAGCTGAGAGAGACCCTTCAACATTTTCTTGGCGATAATCTTCAACTGGTTGCGGTTCAGCTCTCTGGAAGAAGAAGAAAACTGTTTAGTCGCTGAGAAGACAATTTAGCGAGCTGAGAGGACAATACAACAAGCTAAGGGTATAATACAGAAAGCTGAGGGGACAATACAGCCAGATGAAGGGTCAATGCAACGAGCTGAAGGGTCAATACAACGAGCTGAAAATAAAGACAGAGAGGATGGATAAGACTGATAATGAGAACCTTCAAAATAAAAGGCTGAGAAACCAATGATGATCCTCTTCAGTCACTTGTGTCGTCTAGGCTGGAATACTGTTGTACACTAACAACCCTTCCAAGGCAGGTGAAGCTGAAGATCTGGAGAATATACAGAGAACCCTCACTGTATGTATAAGTACAGTCAAGCACCTGTACTCCTGGGAAGGCAGGAGAGGAAGATATATCATATTTTAAACCTGGAAAATCCTAGATGGATTGGTCCCAAATCTGCACCCAAAAATCATTCCATTGGAAAGCAAAAGACTCAGCAGACGGTCCAACATACCCCCTATGAAAAGCAGGGGTATCGTGATTACACCGAGAGAAAATACAGTAAGTGTCAGGGGTCCAAGACTGTTCAACAGCCTCTCATCACATATAAGGGGGATTACCAACAGACCCATGGCTGTCTATAAGAGGGAACTGGACAGATACCTAAAGTTGTACTTAATTAGCTGGGCTGTAGTTTATACGTTGGATTGTGTGCGGCCAGCAGTAACAGCCTAGTTTATCAGGCCCTGATCCACTGGTAGGCTTGCTCATAGACCCGGCTGAGAAGGCGTTGACCCAGAAACATCCTCCAGGTAGAGAATGCAGCAAACCGAGGGAACAATCCAGTGTGGTGAGAATAAAATCAATTGAGCTGAGGAGACAATCTAGCGAGCTGAGGGGACAATCCAGTATACTGAGAATACAATCCAATGAGCTGAGGGAACAATCTGGTGAGCAGAGGAGACACTCTAGTAGCAGAGGGGACAATCTCGTAAGCTGAGGGGACAATCCAGTGAGCTGAGGGGACAATCCAGTGAGCTGAGGGGACAGTCCAGTGAGCTGAGGGGACAGTCCAGTGAGCGGAAGGGACAAAAATTCACTAGGTGTCTCCTGGGTCCGTGCCAGAAAACTTTGCCAACTTGTTTAAATTTTCGTACTTTTAAATAACCTGACCAATGAGAAAAACTTGTATGAAATGTATGAAAGAGTGATATGTAAGTGTATGAAACAGTGGTATATGAGTGTGTGAAACAGTGGTATATGAGTGTATGAAACAGTGATATATGTGTATGAAACGGTGTATGAAACAGTGGATGAAACAGTGCATGACAGTGGTGTATGAAAGTGGCATATGAAACTGTGATGAATGAAACAGTGTAGTATGAAAGTGGTATATGAAACCGTGGTGTATGAAAGTGGCATATGAAACAATGTCGTATGAAACTGTGTATGAAACAATGTCGTATGAAACAGTGGTGTATGAAACAATGTCGTATTTAACAATGGTGTATGAAACAGTGGTGTATGAAACAATGTCGTATGAAACAGTGGTGTATGAAACAATGTCGTATGAAACAGTGTGAAACAATGTATGAAACAGTGATGTATGAAACAGAGTATGAAACAGTGTACGAAACAGTGGAGTATGAAACATTGTATGAAAGTGGTGTATGAAACAACGCATGAAACAGTGATGTATGAAAGTGATGAATGAAACGGTGCATGAAACATTGGTGTTTGAAATAAGTGTGAAACAGTGTATGAAACTAGTGTGTTTGAAACAGTGTTGAATGAAATTGTGGTGAAACAGTGGTGTATGAAAAGTGGAGTACGAAAGTGGTGTATGAAAGTGTATGACACATTTGTATATTAAGCTGGGTATGAAACTTGCATATGTAACAGTGGCATATGAAACACTTAAGTATGAAACAATGGTGAACGAAACAGTGGTGTGTGAAACAGTAGCTTATAGAACAGTGTATGAGACAGTGGTGTATGAGACAGTGGTGTATGAAACAGTGAGGTGTGAAACAGTGCATGAAACAAATGGTACATAAAACGGGTGGTGTGTAACACCTGTCATACACCAATATGTAATGCGTCTGAAATGGCGTGTATAAACTAAGGTGTTTATAAATCAGGGAGTGTATAAAACAGGTGGGGAACGAAACAAGTAGAATGTAAATAAACTGGTGGAAGAGGGTGACGTAGAGAGGTCCGAGAGGATTGAATAAACACGTAAAAGAAGCGGTGGTGAAGATGATGGCCCAGATAAAATGTACATTCTACCATCAAGTGATGTTTTACTTTCCTGAGTCACGTACATAACGTACATTCTACCATCAAGTGATGTTTTACTTTCCTGAGTCACGTACATAACGTACATTCTACCATCAAGTGATGTTTTACTTTCCTGAGTCACGTACATAACGTACATTCTACCATCAAGTGATGTTTTACCTTCCTGAGTCACGTACATAACGTACATTCTACTATTAAGTGATGTTTTACCTTCCTGAGTCACGTACATAACGTACATTCTACCATCAAGTGATGTTTTACTTTCCTGAGTCACGTACATAACGTACATTCTACCATCAAGTGATGTTTTACTTTCCTGAGTCACGTACATAACGTACATTCTACCATCAAGTGATGTTTTACTTTCCTGAGTCACGTACATAACGTACATTCTACCATCAAGTGATGTTTTACCTTCCTGAGTCACGTACATAACGTACATTCTACCATCAAGTGATGTTTTACATTCTACCATCAAGTGATGTTTTACTTTCCTGAGTCACGTACATAACGTACATTCTACCATCAAGTGATGTTTTACTTTCCTGAGTCACGTACATAACGTACATTCTACCATCAAGTGATGTTTTACTTTCCTGAGTCACGTACATAACGTACATTCTACCATCAAGTGATGTTTTACCTTCCTGAGTCACGTACATAACGTACATTCTACTATTAAGTGATGTTTTACCTTCCTGAGTCACGTACATAACGTACATTCTACCATCAAGTGATGTTTTACCTTCCTGAGTCACGTACAAAACGTACATTCTACAATTAAGTGATGTTTTACCTTCCTGAGTCACGTACATAACGTACATTCTACCATCAAGTGATGTTTTACCTTCTTGAGTCACGTACATAACGTACATTCTACAATCAAGTGATGTTTTACCTTCCTGAATCACGTACATAACGTGCATTCTACAATCAAGTGATGTTTTACCTTCCTGAGCCACGTACATAACGTACATTCTACCATCAAGTGATGTTTTACCTTCCTGAGTCACGTACATAACGTACATGTGGAAGTAGGTCGTGCCCAAGGATTAGGCAAGCGAAGAATTCCCAAGTATTAAGATCCCAAGAAGTTGCAGTGTCTGACAGGATTGTAGATGAATGGTTCAGAGAACCGACACGTTGATAAATTAGACACATGTGCAACACTTGGGTATCTTTATTGAGGAAACGTTTCGCCACACAGTGACTTCATCAGTCCATACAAAGGAGAATCGTGTTGCACCTCTCCTGCCTATGGTATATCAGCCACTTCTCCGCTCATATGCTGTATTCTATTCAAGATTGATGGACTGATCACATCGACTCAAGGTTGAGGGACTGATTACCTCATTCTCCTCCTGTTCTTCACGATTCTCCTTTGTATGGACTGATGAAGCCACTTTGTGGTGAAACGTTTCCTCAATCAAGATACCCAAGAGTTGCACATGTGTCTAATGTATCATCATGGTTCATGCTAAGAGCTCATCACTACAGACCAAAACTTTAAGTTTCTTTTACTAATATTTATTGCCATCATATTTAATTTTGTGAATATATCTACCAACTCATAAGCTATAATTCTGAAAAAATGTAAGGAAATTGTGATTTAATAAATCAGTCTGATTAAAACAAATTAAAAAAGAGAGAAACTCAGAGACAGGTTGTTGTCTTAGAGCTACAACACTATCTACGTTACTAATGTAACAATAGTCACATTGACGTACATAGCCTATATCAGATCTGCATCTGTGTTATAATTAGCTTTAGAAAAACCTGGATCCTTGGAGATAAGAGCAAAGTGAAGCGCTCAGAATTATTCTTGACAATCGCAACACAAACAAGGTCGTTAATATGAGGAAGACGCGTTATTCCCAGTGTCAGTGAGAGAATAGTGTAGTTGCCATCAAAATTGCCAAGATATTGTCACTACAAATTTCAGCAAATGTGTAGTATACTAAGTATAAATCGAAACAAAACATACAATGACAGTAAATTTTATAACCTCTATATATCATAATAGACAACAAGGGTATTTGACTCCTAGATATATTTTATTTACTTGATATGACGTTAGTAATAAACCCTCTCCTGCAAGATGCACAGTCCCAGTAATCTATTGCTTAATTAGTTATCTAGTAATGTACCTAGTGTCATTTATCTAGTTCATGTACCTAGTGTTAATTACCTAGTTCATGTACCTAGTGTCAGTTATCTAATTCATGTACCTAGTGTTAGTTAAGTACTTAGTGGAATTGTAAATGAGCTCTAAGGCTTCTCCGTGTGACTTCACCAGGTGTAGGCCCTCTAGTAGGGACTAGAGTTTAACTGGAGAGAGTTCCGGGGGTCAACGCCCCCGCGGCCCGGTCTGGGACCAGGCCTCATGGTGGATCAGAGCCTGATCAACCAGGCTGTTACTGCTGGCTGCACGCAATCCAACGTACGAGCCACAGCCCGGCTCGTCAGGTACCGACTTTAGGTGCTTGTCCAGTGCCTGCTTGAAGACAGCCAGGGGTCTATTGGTAATTCCCCTTATGTATGCTGGGAAGCAGTTGAACAGTCTCGGGCCCCTGACACTTATTGTGTTGTCTCTTAACGTGCTAGTGACACCCATGCTTTTCATTGGGGGGATGTTGCATCGTCTGCCAAGTCTTTTGCTTTCGTTGCGAGTGATTTTCGTGTGCAAGTTCGGTACTAGCTCCTCTAGGATTTT